TGCCTCCCCACAGAGCCTGAGAGCCCCCAGGTGAGTGGTGAACTTCTCACCCCGGCAGATCTGGCGAAGTTCTTGCTGCGTTTTGGTGCCCTCCAATGGCGGATTCTGGAACAGCCTCGAGGTCTTAGCCACATGCTGGGGGTTGAGGGGGGGAACCTCATTTATTCTAAAGGCTTAATCGTTTAAAAAGAAGAAAAAGGGGGGGTTTACTGTGACAGTGGAAGACTGTAGTCTCGTCCCTCATTTCTTACCCAAGTGAGCAAGAAGCTCTGACAGAAGTTCTCCCTTAATGCAGACTTTCTAAGACTTGTCTAATAAGATACATTAGATGTTAAAAATACACATTTCTGGGTTGTAACTTTAGAAGTACCTCAGCGAAACCAATACGGGCATAGCCTGGGGATGCGCATTTTAACAGCACACCCCTCACATTCCCTAACATCCACATCCCCCTTCCACATTCCCAGAACCCAACACACTGGCAATTAGCAGAATCCAACTACTTGGAGAAACTCAGTTTTGGTCTCCCAAGTATGAACCGCTGGGCCACTCTGCCTTTCCTATCCCCTAACCCTTGCTTCCATGCAGGGGTATGATGGCTACATGTGCACTTGAGAGGGGATTGGAGCCCTTGTCAGACACACCGGCTGAGCAAGGACCACTCCCCTGTGAAACTTTGGGTCCACCCTGACTTCCCTGAAGCTCTGATTCCTCTGTTAACTGAGCCATGCTCCGTACACTCTCTCGTTCTTTGAAATAACGGAGCCTCCAAACAGCTGATGAGCATTAAAGCATGTTCAAGGCAGCTCGCAGCCGCTCCCGCTGCTATGCTGGAACTGCGCTGGTGAGAGCTGATCCGCGGCATCCTAAACATTTTTCGAGTTGGTTATCGAACCTTTGTTGGTGGCTTGAGGTGAGCAATGGCGGGGGTATTTACACCACAGAAATTGGTGAGTGTTACAAATTAGGGGTGTGTGTGTGTGTGTGTGTGTGTGTGTGTGTGTGTGTGTGTGTGTGTGCAGAGAGAGAGAAAGCGAGAGTTGGTTGTTAGCTGTTTTTTATCCCATCACTGAATATATAGCATGACTAGGTTCTTTCATTCTAAGGATTTGTGCCCATTCATTTTTGGTGCGTGGTGGTGTTTTTGTTTATTTTCAGTTTTTATAACAAAGTTTAGATAATGAAAAGTAAGTATGAAAAAACAGGAAGACTCTGTCTACTGCAAGTCTGAGGCAGAGACAGTGGTCACATCTGTCCCCAGCCTTCAGCTAGCTGCAGCTGGTTGTCCATGACAGCAGTGGGATTTAAGCCCCTCCCCAAAGGCTTCCGGAGTCCCCATGAAGTGATGCCCTCGTGACCACACTTGACTTGGACCCCAGCAGGAAAGTCCTCAGAGTGATAGGCCTGAAGGTTCACCAGGTGAAAACGTGCTGTGTATTGTGTGCTCCAGGAGAAAAGAACGGGACTGCCATGGCCTCTCTCGGAGTTCCTAGGAACTCTTAACAGGGCTTTACTAAACCAAGAACCCTGTTTCTCCTTCTTCAGAAGAAAGCCGCTAGCTTTCATCTCCAAACTCCCAGCAGTCTTTAAGCTGTTCCGTCAGGAACACAGATGCTAACTCTAGCTACATACGGGCCAGAGGGGGAGCACAGGCAATGGACACACCCGGAAGGAACGGGGAACTTTGCTCAGCCCCTTCTCACCTGGCATACATTTTGTTCTCCCTCAGCTTTGGGGTGCACAAGACAGAGTAAGGAGGCTCCTGCACTAGCATCTGTCATGCTAGTCCCCTTGAAACTGAAAAGACAAAAATTGTTGATTACATTTAGACCCATATCTAAAATCCCTTGAGCCTAGCTAGGATTAGATCATTCCCTCATGGCCACTGAGACAGACAAGAGCTTTTTACTTGCTTTGTACATAAACCTTTGGGGAATACCGAGCCATAAGATGCTTTGAGCCATCTGGTAATGTAACAAGTGGCTATCTCTCTCCATCGGTGAGGCAAGCTCAATGATGACTCAAGACACCCACGCTTGGGGTGTCAGTGCTGCTGGTTGGCATTGGTTCACTTTAAGTTCAAAGTTAGAGCCCTCTAACTGAAGAGGCCCAGAGAGGTGACTCAAGAGCTCAGCTTGGGTGATAGGAAGGCAAGATTGAACTCCCAGGGAGGAAGATGGATAACGGACTGGACAAAGACTGTGGGAAAGTATCCACCACCAGGCCAGTTTGCCCAAAGCCACAAGTACCAATGCCAGGAATTAGTGGCAGATCGTGTTCACAAAGGAAGTTGAGCTCATGCTGAAAGAAATCAGTGTTGGCCTATGTGTAAAAAGAGGAGCCAATGACAGAGTATTTATTTTCTGCTGTGGTGGAACAAATTATCACAGGCTTAGAAATATAAACAGCAACCATTTTAACCTCACAATCCTTGTAAACTGAAACACTGCACAGGGTAGTCAAGGTCTTGGTTTACAAGACAGAGCTCAAAGTGGGAGCCGGACTGTGTTCTTCTCTGGACCTTAGATTAGCTACTCACACACTCAGGTTGATGGTGGGATTCAGTTTCTTACAACTGTAGCAAGGTGGCCCTGACTATCTCCCATGATGTCAGCCAGGTTTCTTCTATAGGCCTTTTGGTATTCTGATCAAACGAGGGCAGTTTGATCTTCCAGGCAGGATAATTCTCATACTTTGAAGCTCTTTGACTTTGGGACAACCCCGTCTCTTTGAAGGCTCACCTGCTAAGGTCAGGCTTGCCCCAAACAATTTCCCTTTTGATTAACCCAGACTCTGCAAATTAGTCATCTAATCACAGAAGGATGTTACAGGTTTCACAGGTCTATCCCACGTGCAATGGGAAGGGATTAAACGCTGCAGAAATCCTAGAGTTCTGTCTTGGAGTTAGGAGGCAGGGAGAGCATCATGAAATTGGTAAACAAGCTGGTGTCAAAAGGACACCTAGATAACAGATCTTAGGTGGACTTAGGCTAAGTGGAGGAAAGATCATAAGATTTTAAAGCACCTGTTGCTTTTCTGCCTAGAACAGCTGAGTCCTTCTGATATCACACACTTGTATGGGTTTCCCCTAATCTGCCTCTTCAGCTATTCTCCATCATATCACCCAAAGGATTTCTTTCATGATGTTTCTCGTACTATGTTAACATGTCTGCTTGCATTTTTATTGTTCACCTCCTTCTCTGAACTCTAAAGTCAGTGAGGATAGGGTCAGTGTCACTTTCAGGGGTCTCTCTCCATCCAGAATGAGGCAGCAGGCTATACACTATACATAGCATACAGTAGGGGCTGGATAAACACCGAATGAAAAGTAGACAGAGTAAGTAAGCAAGTGATACAGAAAATCCAAAGGCCAGCTGAAAGGTCTCAGTATTGTGTCTAGACTTCTTGAAGAGGGCAAAGAGTAGAACTGGATGAAAAGACGTGGGGTGCTAGGGTCTGCTTCAAACATCTTGAGTTTGTCTATGGAAGTCCAACAAGCAGTGGAAATGTGTGTGGGTGACCAAAGAAAATACACTAGCCAATGAAAAAGAGGAATAGGCTTAGGCTGTGTGCAATGCTCAGGCTTGACTATCAGTCTGGTTGGATTGGGAGATTAGTCATCACTTCCCTAGGTGGTGTGTGTGTGTTGGGGGGGTGTTCTGAGATGATTAGGTCTCAAAGGATCTGGCATGGTCACTGGTGCAGCCCACTGATGGTCTAAGAATATGAACTGACTACTGAAAGGTGATGGAACTGTGGAAGGCCGTGCCTACTTCGAGGAAGTCGGTCATTAGAAAAATGCCTTTGAAGGGTATTTGCTGGTCCTGGCTCCTGCCTGGTTCTCCTCTCTTCTTGCTGGATGCTTGAGATAAACAGCCTCCTCTTCCACACACTCTTACCACCACAGCGTTCGGCCTCACTGAACTGCTGAAGGAATGGAGCCACCCAACCTCTAAATTTGTGAGCCAAAAGAATCCTTTCTCCTTTTAAGTTGTTTCTCTCAGACGTTTGTCACAGCCATGGAAAAGACTAACGTACCATGTGCATAAAAACTGGATTCCAAAATTAGATTCCATTGGATGCTCGTTCTGTTTTCCAAACCCCTTAGTTGGCATGCTTATCGCTCTGTGAGTAGAATGCATATTCACATACAAGCAGGGAGTAAGCATCTCACTTGGACATAGTACTACTGCTGTCCGGAAAACTGTGGAAGAATGGGAAGGTACACACCAAAGCCTTCAGAGTGTGAGGCCTGTGAGTAGGGGGACTGTGGGTTGTGCTGGGGATACAGAATCCCACTCACAACTCGATGCTGCTCTGCTACCTCTTTATTCTTTCTCCCTTTCTTCATGGCTCCTCAAATGAGTTCTTCTTCTCTCTTAACCTTTCTGCTACTTTCACTCAAACATTTTTTCTTTTTTAAAATATTTTTTACTTATTTTTTTTGCCAATTTCATCACTGTATCTTGATCATAAGCACCCTCAGCTCATGCCTCCCATCACACCCCCAACACATCCTTCCCCTACCTTCATGACCTTGCTCTCCCTTTCCTCTCTCCTATCTTTAATTCACTGAGATCTATCTATCTATCTATCTATCTATCTATCTATCTATCTATCTATCTACCTATCTTTTTCTCTCTCTTCTTCCCTTTTTCCCCCCTCCCCTCTCTGTAACCCCCAGAACTTAGTGCTTGCTACTGGAATGTTGACGGATTATATCGGCTTGGTCTTAGGCAGGTCCTGCGCATGTAACCATAACTGCGGTGACTTAACGAATTCCATGGCCATATCGTGTCCGTATGACAGCCTTCCATAGCATGCCCCACCCCCCATCACCCAGCCCTTACATTCTTTTTGCTCCTGCTTTTGTGCTCAAGCACTTTTCTTAACTCTTTTCAAGTAAGTAACTTTTCTCTTGTCATATGTCTCCATGTGAGCCACCCTCTAGTCAACTGGTGTTCCTATCCTGCCTCACACCTGTCCTTACTCTTTTATAGGTACACAGCAGTGGTCATGCCAGTTCACTATCAGCATGGCACTGGGCAGAGCTCCTGTCGGCGTGTGGCACTCATGATTACAGCTGTGTGGGTGCTGGCCTTTGCTGTGTCCTGCCCTCTCCTCTTTGGTTTCAACACAACAGGTAAAACTATTGGTTTCACTTCCTAAACTCATAAGGTTCGCATCATATCTGAGTGTCTGTGAGTGGTACCCATTCCAATATTTCCATGCCTATTAAGTATAATCAAGTAGGAATGCTGTTGACTGCAAAGCTTTGGCCTTTGTTGGGTATAAATTAAATAGAGAGCAAAACTTCATTAATTATTGTCATAAAAATATAGTTTTGGCCCAGCTCATGAAAAGTCTGTCTTATCCATGTTTAGAAAGAAATGTCATTGTATTTATTGGAAGAAATGTAACAGTTAAAATACAAAACTATGTTAATAAGTCAAGCAGGATTTCTAATGAAAAGTTAACTATTCAGAACCAACCTACAATGCAAAATAGCATATCCTAAATACTGAAATAAGTTATTCTCCAATAAGAATAATTTCTGACATTTGAGAACTAGTTCTGAAATACATATTTTTATTATGCAAAATTGTGCAGAGGATAGATGACACATGGTATATCTCCTAGATGGATGGATGGATGGATGGATGGATGGATGGATGGATAGATGGATGGACAATGTCTGTATCTGAGATGGTTTGGATTTTAACCCATGTGTCAGCAATCCAATCCACATTTACCTATCACATGAGCCATCTTTTAGCCTCAGGAAATCTGTATGTTGAATGAAAGCTATTAAAAATGTATAATAAGAGGAAAGAGAAGGACATTTTTCTGTAATTATAATCTCAAAATTATATATATATATATATATATATATATATATATATATATATATATAAAGAAATGCATTATGACAGAAAAGGGAAGGGGGAAATATTATAATTACAACATCAACATTTTAAAAATATTTTTTAAAGTTAAGAGAGTGTATAATGGGAGCGTTTGCTAAGGAAAAAAACCTAGATGAGTAGTGTTCCAATGTCATGTAGAATTTTTATTTTGTCCATCTAGACTGTCTCATTCAATTCTTACCAGGTTCTAGATTTTTGAATTCCTGATCTATATGTACTTAGTAGTCACATAAAAATAGTATGCTATGTAAAAATTCAGTCAAATTCCAAATTATAAACAATCTTCCAGGCATTGTGTCTGGGACAATGATATTAAAAGTCACAGCACCCTGAGGAGACTTCAGAATCAGAAAGCTCTAGATTCGAACCAGCTCATCCTAGTTACCCGTTGTGTCTCCTTGAACAAGCTACTGGCCTCTCCTAAGCTCGGCTTCCTCACTGATGAGCTTAAGGCAGCAATACCGTGGTCGTGGTGCATAAAGGAACAGCTTCAAATGTATATTCAATCAGCATATTTTGTTCCAAAGTTTTCAATATTTATGTTTACAAATGGCTTCCTACAGACAAAAAGAAAAGCCCAAAAAGTTCATCTCTTAAGTGACACGGTCTATGTGAACTTTATAATGTCTGACATATCAGCTCAGAGCTATAACAAAACTGCATATGTCTTTATAAGTAATGTAGGGGATTTTTCAGAGCAAAGTTTTAGACTGGAACATAGTAGAAATTGAATGAACCAATCCAACTGGACAAAATAAGAAATCTAGCCGGTTTTCTTTTAGTAAATAATTTTCAAATTTTATGTACGTGAGCATTTTGCCTGCATGTATGTACGGTCTTTGAACGTACATGCCTGGTGCCTACAAAGGTTAGAAGAGGGCACAGGATGCCCTGGAACTAGAGTTAAAGACAGCTGTGAGCCACCATGTGGGTGGTGGGAAAGGAATCAGTGCCCTCTGGAAGAGCTAAGTCATCTCTCCAGTCCGCAAAGACGTCCATCTTATTCGCTAACGTTAGGCTACATATTATGTAACCCTGCTCTGCATCCTTTGCAGAGGCTTCTGCTCTTTAACAGGGTTTACATGGAGACAATGTGCGAGTGCGTCAGGCACATACTGCCTTCTCAGGGTCAGTCTAGTTTGTCATGTACACTAAAGGTTAAGAAACCATGTCATCAACAAACGTCTTCCTGGTTCACACAGAATGTTCATAAAATTTTGTCTGTTTTCATTTTGTTCTTCACTGCTTGTTACTTTAGAGTTTTGGGTTTGTTTTTGTTTTGTTTTGTTTAACTGAATGACACTTTATACACAGGAGAGTATGTACACGTCAGAAAGCATTTTTCATTGAAACGGCTAGAGGAACTTCAGAAAACTAAAATACCTTTGGTGCTCGGTGTTAAACGGGCCCAGTGGGTTAGTCAGAGAGCCTGCACATTACCTCGTTTCCCTGTGCAAATGCCCTGTTAGGTGGATCTCTTACTTAGGAACTGAGTACCGCTGCTTGCCCAAGGCACTGCTTATTTGCTGGGCCCCAACACATGTCACCTGTGGGATGAGCACAGTTCCCCAGGCTGAGCCTGGTTCCCTTACACTATCTGGGATGCTGGCAGAGGTGGTCCTCCACACAGGCACACACACACACCCACACACACATACACACACCCTAAGAAAAGCTGATGCCATCTCCAGATCTGACAGTAGACAAGAGTTCCCAGCTAATGTCAACATCGCAAGCTAAGAATGACGAGCTAATTGCGGCACGTTGACACCAGTGACATCATTATTGTTCTAGAAACAAAATGCAGAAAAATCATCCCAGGATCTTCAAATTGAGGAAAAAAAAAAAAAAAACAGAAAGAAAGACTTGTAACCTAGCACGCGAATGGTAGAAAACCCCTGCTTCTCTCAGGGTCTTTCTCTTACTTTGTACTTTATGCTTTTTTTTTTTTTTAATGTGTTCACTTTATGTTTGAAGGTCATTTTGCTTATCTTTGTTTTTGAGACGGCATCTCACTAAGTTGCCCAGGCAGACCTTGAATTTATAATCCGCCTGCCTTAGCCTCGCGTGTAGCTGAGATTATATGCTTCTGCCACGAAGCCAGGCTTTCTCTTTAAGTTTCTTAGCGACACCGTACCAACACCTCCAATTATTCTCATATTGTGTCAAATGCAAGGTCTATTATAAGGGCCCAGTAGGTATTAGCTGGAGTCATTGTTGTGATTATGTAATGGAAAGTTTTCTGAGCCTTAAATTGCAAGTAAACAGCGGCTCCAAGGAAGATGCAAACAGTGGCGGTTCTCTGGGAGGTCACAGGGAAGATCAGCTATCCCTTTCCAGAGCACAGTTCAGGGAATTCTCCCAAGCGGAGCTCAGGCATAAAGAACCCAGCGTTGGTCTCTGACACAACCTGACCCTCATGATGCACTTTCTTTATCCTGATAGATAGCCAGTGTTCTATTGCTGTGAAGAGACACCATGACCACAGCAACTCTTATAAAGGAAAGCATTTGATTGGAGCTGGCTTACTGTAGCAGAGATTTAGTCCATTATCATCATGGCAGGTAGCATGGCTTTGGTGTGGCGCTGGAAAAGTAGCTGAGGGCTAATCCCAATCCATAGGCAGAGAGCAAGACACTGGGCCTATCATGGGCATTTAAAACCTCAAAGCCCACCCCTAGTGGCCACACTTCCTGGTGACCAAGCATTCACAGATGAGCCCATGATGGCCATTCTCATTCAGACCACCTCATGGTCCCTCCAGCCACTTCATTAAAGCACTCTTCCCTGCTAGCTTGTTGACACTCCTTCTCTGGCAAGTAGAGATGAAAAGGGCCTCAGGGGTTGTCGGTTCCACCTGATTTGGAGCATAGCTGGACTTCGAGAAATGTTACAAGAGCTTTTCACTTAAGTTCATGGCCTGCCACATGTGTTGCTGAACCATTAGAGGCCAAAGAAGCAAGCCAACCGTCAGCCACTTTGAAGTTGCTGTTGCTCCTGTTCTTTGAAAAGGGGTAACAGGAGGTAGGATCTTGGGTGGGAGAAGTTCCAGGGCCGTAGCTCCTGACCAGCCAGCATTGCTCCAGCTCTACCAGAGCCCCAGCAGTCTAGTCATCAAGTCAACAGCCCCTAACGATGCAGGAAAAGGTGTGTGTGCTGGAGCAAGAGGCCAGTGGCAAAGATTTCCAAATGAGCTCATTTCCTTCCATTTCACAGATAAGAAAAATAGTATTCGAATTTCTGTTAAATCAGATACCCATTGTGCGACTTTTAAAAGAGAGTTATAGAATGAATAAGCAATAGATAGTGATAGGATTTGAGAATCCTTCTGGGAAGGAGACTTAAAGTTAAAATCTTATCCTCTCCTTTAGGGGGGGAAAAGAGTGCTATTTATTTGATTTTAGCAATAGAAATGTCACCTGGATTTCAGAATTCCGGAGTTGGGGGAAAGGGCTTGGTTGCTCAGAAAGTTAAAAAGAAGAATAAAAAGCACACTGTTTGAAGGAGAGTGACTCATCCTGAAATCAGACTCATCAGCATATCCGTCTTTGGAATCGGCGACGTTAGGTCAAATTCTTCCACAAGTCTAAAGTTCATCAGTCTTTCAAGTCAACCTTCTCTCGACCTTGTTGTTCACATCACTGTGAGCTCAGGTTCTCAGCCTAGCTCACAGAAACCTCCAAGACCCTCCTTGTTGCAGCGATCTGGTGCCTCCTCCTTTTTCTTTGCATGCATACGTGTGTGTATGCTGCAAAAAGGGCAGAAGTTTAAGTCAGGGTCTTCCGGTGTTGCTTTCCACCTTATTTTTTAGGACAGGATCTCTCAGCAAATTTGGAGTTCACTGATTTAGCTAGACAAGCTGGACAGTAAGTTCTAGGGGTTCTCCTGTCTCCACCCACTCCTACCCCAAAAGCTACCCCCACTCCCACTCCCATCCCAAGTACCGGGGTTGCAGACACACCTGTCTTTGTGCACGCATGCTGGAGATCCAAGTTCAGTACAGCAAGAGCTTAAGACACTGAGCTGTCTTCCCAGTTCCCTCCTTAGTGTCTTACTGCTCAGCACAGGAGCTTTGAGCACAGCATATGTTCCATTAAGCTGAGTGAGTAGATGTGTCTTCACCCCCAACCCCTGATCCCCACCCCACTTTTTTTTCTGATTTTTAGAAAGTGATACTAGAAATTTACCTGTCTGGCCTCCCTCCCCACCCCCAGTATCCTATAGCCAGTAAGTTCTTAGGTGCCTAGATAAAATGCTCATTTGTACATTTTCATTTTTATTTTCTTCATCCCACACATCCTTTCAGTAAATCCCATGCTTCCATACAGTTCAGATCACTCATCAGACAAAGGCACCATGTCTCCCGAGGGACTGGATGTCCTCCCACAGGACTCATCAGTCCCTGACTCCAGGGTCTCCACCCTGCTGTGCAGACATGAGACTGTAGCCCGGTGGAGAGAATTCCGGAAGAGGCTGCAAAGCTTGATCAGAGCGCTGACAGCAGCTGACTTCAGTAGGGGAAGCAAGGAAGGGATGACAGAGCAAGTTCGGCGATTGTAAATGAGACCCATCATGGTCAATGACCCTGAAATAGCTACCGGCTCCATCTTCATTTTCTTCTTCTTTCATACCAACAGTCACAATGTTTTTAATGGAAAAATAAATGCTCGCACATGATAAAACATTCATAAGGTGTAATGAGATACACACAGACCTCTCTCTATGTCAGTCTGCCTCCTGCCCAAGATTGCCAGGGCCCCCATCCCCTCCCCTGAAGCAAACACTAATACTCCTGTAAGATGTTGCTTATAACAAGTAGGAGTGTGTGTGTGTGTGTGTGTGTGTGTGTGTGTGTGTGTGTGTGTGTGTATGTACAGAAAAGCATATTATACCTACTTCTGACTTTGGGACAAATGAGGAACACTCAACTCACTAAAGCTGCCAGCAAGATAAATCTTGGGAAAGTAAAGTCCCCTGGCCCCTTCTTACCAACACATGCTGAGACTCCTCCTCACCACAGGTGGCACTGAGATCTGGGCCAGCCAGTGACAGCCGGCAAGCTGCCTCCCAATGGCTTCAGTGCTCATGACGACATGGCTCCCTAGGGACTGAGAAGGCCCACCAGCTGCCACCACATTCCTGCCCTCAACCTCATTGTCCCCAGAACAGCAGATGTCAGTTTGGTGATCACTCCTCAGGGCCGTATGTGCTGTTTGCTAAGGGATGCTGATGCTAGGTCTGGTGAAATAGCATCAATCTCATGCCATCTCCAACAGCATGAGAGGATCTGGGAGCAGGCTGGGAGGGTTCTGGGCCATGCTGTCGCTGAATCGCCTCCCTGGGTGCTGGCCACGGCTCTCTTGTTTCACTTTATTCTTCACTGTTTCTCCCTTCCCTTCCCCAATATTTGTTCCCTGTGAGTCCTTCTGCAAACTTCTATTTCAATCCCCCAAAACTCAGAAGGGGTGAACAACAATGATACAACAAATAAAAACCGATAACAATCATAGCAAACACTTACCTTCATTATTTCTCATAGCTATTACGCCAGAAATATTTTTATCCTGTTGTGGATAATGAAACTAAAGCTGAGTACCTCAGATGGTGATGCCAAAGCCACTCAGGTAATAAGCAGCAGGTCCTTGTCTCACACCTGGGGCTGTCTGTCCTCAACCCATTTCAGAAGACCAAGAACCAGAACTAGAGCCCCAAGTGGCCACTGCCCTTTCTGCCATCTGCTATCTCAGGCCACATCACCCACAGCCAGATCTGGGCCTGAGCTTCCACTCTTCTATGAAGTGTGGACCAGGTGTGCCAACAGCTATTGTTGGAAGTGTGGGATGAGGCCCATGAGTGCCCTTTCCTGGAGTAGAAGGAGTAGAAAGTCAAAATTACGGAAGGCGGGTTGATTCGGTATTAGACTGGCTAGAGAAAAGTGTCTTTCATGCTGTATTGCCTTAGGCCACTTAATGAACCTTTCTGAACTCCAGCCTGTGTATGTAAGAATGGAAGAGTAATGTCCCATTCCATTATGATTGGGTAAGATCATGTCCATAAAGTCCTTGGCCTGTTGTCTAGCAGATATTAGCTTGTTTCCTTTTTTCTGTTTCAAGATGAAACAAGTCTCTGGCCTTGTCCTGGGTACTGGATGAATTTCAACATCTAGTGAAGAAAGTAAAACCACTGGGCTTCCCAAAGAGAAGGTGAAGGAACACTCGGGCCATAAGGACAAGAACTCTTTACGTTTTAGACATTTATTTATTTTTATTTTATGTGTGTGTGTAAGTACTGGCATGTATATATGCATATATTGGGTGTCTGGTACCCACAGAGGTCAGAAGAAAAGTGTAGGACTCCCTGGAACTGGAGTTACAGGTGGTTGTGAGCTTCCACGTGAGTGTTTGGAAATAAACCTTTGCAAGAGCAGCAAATGCATGTAACCATTGAGCCATCTCTACAGCCCACTCCTAGAAGCTCATTCTCTTTCCCATCTCTCTTCCCATCCTACCCAGTGCTGGGAGTCCTTGGAAAACCAAACACCTGTCCTAGTCCTCCACCACCTGCCCCACACCCTGGATTCAAAAGAAGCCCTTTTCTTTTCATGGCATTCAGCCATCTGTTTATGCCTCAACCAGCAGACTCTTTCCTGGGAGTGGCATTCTCCCAGAAGCCTCTGCTCTCCTGTTCTGTGCTCCTCCTTAGCTTCCCAGGCTACATTCCTCCAAGTTACAACTGACCATTTGCATGGAAGAGATCACCTGTCTAGCCAGACTGTTTGCTCCTTCAAGGGCAGACAGTGCGTCTTATTCATCTTCACAGCCTCTGTTCAGATCGGTGTCTGGAATATAATCAGTGGTAAATTCTTTTGAAGTCAACTTCGAGAAGTACAAAGATGAATTAGCTCTCTTCCTTCAGGGCACTGACAACACTGGTTCCCATCGACCACCCACACACACACACATCATCTCACATCATGCTCAGTGCTCCACACTGAGGACAATTGTCTTCTCTTCTCCCCTTTTCCTACCCACAGGGGACCCCAGCATTTGCTCCATCTCCAACCCTGATTTTGTCATCTACTCTTCAGTGGTATCCTTCTATGTTCCCTTTGGGGTGACTGTCCTGGTCTATGCCAGGATCTACATGGTGCTGAGGCAGAGGAGGAGGAGACGGATCCTCACTCGACAGAACAGCCAGTGCATCAGCATCAGACCTGGCTTCTCTCAGCAGGTGAGCACCTGGCAGGAACTAGGGGAAGACACACCAGCCCCCAGCCCCCAGCCTCCAGCCATGGGTCCATCTGTGCGGATGCTGCCGGCGTCCGCACTAAAGGAGACAGAGTTCATCCCACCACTCCTACTCAGCTGCCATTGTGCTTTAAGGGTGGGAAACACAATACTGAGAGTGTACTGGGTCTCTCAAGATCTCACCTTACTTGGTAAGCCGATAGCACACTTTGGACTTCTCTTCAGAGCCTTCCAACTGCAGCAGTTCAGATGTCCCACAAGGTCTGATTTGATTGAACTGGGATGGGGGCAGGATAGCATTTCCCTGTGACTGTTGTATCATGCACTGCTTTCTCTCCTCAAACCACCCATTCCAGGAGTCATCCATTGACACCTGTCTTCCTGATCTGCCCCTGTGTCAAGATACTGACCAGCCGGGGAGGAGTCTTTCTAGGTTCTACAAAGAAAGTTTGGAACCTCAGGACTGCTCTTCCAGTTCCTTAAGCTTTAGATTTTGCCCACATTGCTGCCTGGAACATGGTGGTTTTCCTCCATGAATACCAATCACTTCCAACCAATTAATAAAAGGATCCTCCTAATGTACAGCTACTGTCTTCATGGAGCTTGGAATCTGGACGTGAAAATCAACCTCACCTCCACGCAAACTTCAGTGAAAAAGGCTAAACTAATTAGGATGTTTTCCAACTGTGAAGTGAAAGCAACAAAGTACCCAAATATTAAGTGCAACAGAGGTTAAGAAAATGACTGCCGCACTCAGAAAAGGGCGTCCTTGGGAGTGAAAGAACTGAGTTTAGTCTTAAAGACAGAACCAGTTCGGGTGTCTAGCTCAATCTCTGATGACTTGTGTAGAGATCAGACTCTCAAGGTCGAAGTCCTAGGACTAGCATAGAAAAAGACAACCATTCTCATGAAGTAAAAGACCATGACCCTGAGGCTTAGGAAACAGATATTGTGCGTTGAAAGTACTGTCGTGCTACATACGACATGGTTCATTTTTGTAGAGATTATCCACAACTGATTGTTTCTCCTTCAACCTACCCCAGTCTTCCTGTCTTCGGCTGCATCCCATTCGGCAGTTTTCAATAAGGGCCAGGTTTCTGTCCGATGCCACAGGACAAATGGTAAGTAGGCATGTCTTGGATCATGGAGAAAGAGTGAGACATCTTTCACTAAGATGCTGATTTGTCTTGATTTCACTCCTACCACAAAGTGAAATTCCTCACTGATCCCACACATGGTTTTGTAATATATGCCAAGATCCCGGAGACTGTATGATTGAAGTCTCAGAATGGGTTTCAAACAATGACATTCAGAAATCACTAGACTAGCAGAGTAGACCTCAGTGACTGGAGGTGATGATTTTTGGTTGTGGTGAAAGGATGCCATCTACCAGAAGGAATAGAATGTCAATGAAATGGACGCATGGGACAGAGAAATAAAACTTTCAAGTATCCTGAAGGTTACTGGCTGTGTACAAAACCATGACAATCTCACAGTCACACTAAGCCTCCCTCGCCTTTCAAATTCAAGTCAAGCCCTTGGCCTGCATGAATAGCAGAAGGCAGAAAAGAGCCTAGAGATGTCAAGACAAGGGTTCCTCTTCCAGACCTCACATTAGTAATTAAACTTCAAAAACTGATAATGATGAAGAGTTGAGTCTTGTCCAGTCTCTCTGTAATTAATTAACAACTCCGTACACGGGCCTGATGTAGCAATTAGAGACTCTTGATGTAAATGAGAACAGATAGATAAACCGTTTAAAATCAACACTGCAGATCCATGGTCTGAGGAGATGCCAAGGCTGAAAGAGAAGCGCTGACTTCCCAGGAGGGATTGGAAAGCCACGAGGCTGCAATGCCAGGAGTATGGAGAAATCGGTTCTGTCCTGCCATCTGGGAGTTGAAATGTCTCTGCCAGCCAGCCAGCCATAGAGGAATCAGTGTTTCACACATCAGCTATGGAGGGAGGGCTAAGGACTTACAGTGCAAACAGAAAAACACCAGCATGGAATCTTGGAAGAATGAGTTGATTCCTGTAGGACAGATAGTCACATTACTGTCATGGAGGCAGGGTGTTTTCCAGTTGCATAGGCACTCCAAGAACTAACCCCCAACCCCAACTAAAACCCCAACAATTTACTTTCAGAAGTAACACACTGGAAGTTAAATATTGTGATTTTTAGGTAATAGGTGCCAGCCTAATCATAAATATTGTCTTGACTGTGGATTGAAATAACATAATATATTTATATTAATTATTAGGAAACCACATCAAAACAAAAGCCAAAAGTTCTGAAGTCTCCCGCCAAAAGGCTCATAGTGTGAATGTCCCCCATCTGGGCTTGGTTCAGGCACCAAAGTTTCTAGCTTACCTAGAGAGACAGGAGGGAGGAAGGATAAAGAAGGAGTAACTGGCTTTTATGACTATGGTAGTAAGAATTACAGAATCCTACTTCCTATTCAAGGTTTGTTCAATCTTTCAAATATCAAAATTTCAAATGCCAAATTCATACATATAACCCTCTTCTCCAGGCAAAAATGCCCCCCCCAAAAAATCACATTCTGTTTTCCTAGAGTGTTTTCTATCTTACAATTGAAGTGTAGAGACAGTTAATGTCTTGAAGATTAACATCTACTAAATAAGAAAGTTATGATGCAAATTTTAGTTTTCTTTCTTTTTTCCTCCTTTCAATATTGATATTTAAAATTTCAAAAATAAAAAAAAATGTGGTACATACCCATAACCCCAGGCATTTGCAAGGTAGAGGCAGGAGAATTAGAAACTTATGGCAAAATCAAGGACAGCCCGGGCTATGTGACACCAAATCTTAAAACAAAGAAAAATAAAAATATTAAATTAAAAATATTTTAAATGAAAAGACAAAACAAACCCAGAGTCACCACCAGGTAGCTTCAGCAGTTATCAATTTGTGACCGATCTTATTTCATCGATGTGCCCACTCACAAACACACACACCCTCTTAAGAATCAAATATCAAGTACCTAAGGCCCATACCTTTTCATCTCTTAAGCGGCTGTTACTGTAATTTATTTGTTTAAGAACTCCAAGCCTTTATCTTGTAGCGTTTCCCACACTCCAGATTTGCCAACTACATACCCCATAATGGCGCTTAATATGTTCATTGATGTAGCCAGGTCTTTCTAATTCAGAAAGACTAGGCTATAATACTAGGGTGCCTTCCTCGTGTCTTGCTGTGCTGATGGAAATCCTGGGTGGCTGCTTCTCAGTTGTAAAATCGGAAGCGGATTTCATTTCCCTAACTTCCCACGGTCTCACCACTCCCCCTGTAGGTTGTACACAGGGAGGCTTTCCTCCTTTCTTTCTGTTCATCATCTTTTCCTTTCAGGAGCACATAGAAGACAAACGATACCCCCAGAAATGCCAGGACCCCCTTCTGTCACACCTGCAGCCCCTCTCGCCTGGCCAGACACGTGGGGAGCTGAAGCGCTACTACAGCATCTGCCAGGACACCGCCTTGAGGCATCCAGGCTTCCAAGAAGGAGGGGGCCGGATGAGCCGGGCGAAGAGGACTCGGAACTCCTTGAGCCCCAACATGGCCCCCAAGCTCAGCTTGGAGGTTCGAAAACTCAGCAATGGCAGGTTGTCCACATCCCTAAAGTTGGGCCCTCTGCAGCCTCGCGGAGTGCCACTTCGAGAGAAGAAGGCCACTCAGATGGTGGTCATTGTACTTGGTAAGTCTGAGTTGGGTTAGTTGAAGCTAGTGCTGGGTGCTGCAGTGTGGGCTATCATAGCCATATTTAAAGAAGGTTGGACATTCAAATATAAAATCTCGATAATGCAACAGAAAACGTTTCTGTATGAATGTTAACAATGATGGAAACTCAAAAGACCCAAATGAAGTTTATGAAGCCATTTAAGTTGGGTTATCATAATGATTATATTGTTAATAAGTAAATCAAACGATAATGACTCAAAAAAAAAAAGTGGCACACATTGGCTTTTTAATCAGTATTTGCTTACTTTAAAATAGTAAAAAATTACTTTAAAAATAGTGAGAAAATAGGACAGCAAAATGCTACTGTCATATGATGATAACTAGATCATTTTAAATACAGGGGGAAAAAAGACAAAATTAATTCTTCAAGATGTCAAAAGTGATCGTCTTTGAGTAGTGGGTGGTTCTTTTCTTCTATGTTCCTGTATTATCGAGTTTCCCACTATGTATATGGCCATTTTTAAATTTTATGGTAGAAAATCTAAATTCTAACATCTAATTAATTAAGGTTTGATAAATCACAGGTGTCACAAGCATTAATGAAGGTGATTTCACTGTGGCCAGTATCACTGACAAATCTCAGCATTCTCACCCAGTTCATAGCACAGGAATTGAACTCATTGGGTCTTTAAGGGTTTTACCATCTTTATCAGAGATCCTTCCTTCATAAGAAGGCACTAAATAAATTCTGAATTTAATGTAAAAGGAAAAAAGATTGGCCAAGAAATTTCTACAGGTCAGACTAGAAAGTTAATTTAGTAACAAAGGCCTGAAGGGAGAGAAGTGTGTCTAATCATATCTATTTTGTGGAGCTGTTGTGAAAATTAACTGGGTAATAGCAATGGAAGAAAAGGCAAATCAATGAGTGAAAGCAACACTAAGCAAACAGAAAGGAAATGGCAGGGAAAACTCCAAGCATAGTGCCCAGTACAGAGATGATTTATAAGTTGTTTTCATGTCATAAGGAGCCATGAACAAACTCCTTACCCAGTTTCTCTCTTTCTCTGCAACCCAGGAGCCTTCATTGTCTGCTGGCTGCCCTTCTTTTTGACTCATGTTCTTAATACCCATTGCCAGACATGCCATGTGTCCCCAGAGCTTTACAGAGCCACAACATGGCTAGGTTATGTCAACAGTGCCCTCAACCCGGTGATCTACACCACCTTCAATGTGGAGTTCCGCAAAGCCTTCCTCAAGATCCTGTCTTGCTGAAGGAGGAGAAGATGCCACACTCCATTTACCCACTTGGAGATGCCAGGCAGTTCAGACCCCTGCCCAGCAGGGTCTGCTTGGAATGACTACACTGTCCTCTGGCGTGTGTGGTATGAAGAAGATTTGCGAAGCAGGACAGACCTGGTTAGGATTAACCAGCTCCATGACAGAATATTTTCAAATTTCTAAGTGCTAGGCAATCAATCAGAGAGCAGTTGAAAAAAAAAAAAAAAGTATGGGACGCACAGAGAGAATTGTCATTGGAGACATGATGCAATACAGTGAAAGAAAAATGAACAGGTCTTAGCAGCCTCGGCCTGCCAGGGGTCCTTGCACTCATAGCCAGGAAGCCATCTTGTAGAAGGAACAAGCAGTTCCTCTTCTTTCAGACCTGTAATTAACTGTCAGCATGGATAACCCTGAGCATCCATGGGGTCCATTTTCTTGGGTTTCCTTTCACTCTATCCTGAAATATGAAAGGCAAGGCCAACGCTTCTACATTCTGCTTTTCTGTGGAATGGAATTGGCTGCGTTGGGGGAGGGAAATTCTCACCCTGGAGCAGACACTGTCCCACACTGGGGCTCAGGCTTTCCTTCTACTCTTCCTTGCATGTTAGCTCTGGTCAAGAGGAACCTTTGCTTTATTCCCTGATTTCTCAGGACAGTTGTGCTGTCTTGATTTCCAGAATTATCCAGGACAAGATGGTTAAGTGAAGAAGGCAAGTCAGTTCCCTCTTCAGTGTCATGGCTGAACTTTCTGGGTCAGAGAGTGCCTTCGATAGGCTATCCATCATTAGAAGGATTTCACTAGCCAGGAACTTCAATATGCTTAACAGAGATCCAAAACTTTCAGACCTTGATACCCACCAAGCGTTTGGAAAGTGCCAGGCACCTCCCAGGTTCTGAATAGATAACAATTGCTGAGGAAGTTGCTGTCCTCAAAGAATTCGCTTGTGTGTGTCATTGTGTTTGCCCACGTGAGTTATAATGACTTGCCTAGACTTTCAGAGGACCTCGGAATTGAGGGTGCTAAGGTAGATGGGCATTCCAAACCATCACATGGATAGTCTTTATAAAATCCTAGTCAGAGCCTAAACATCATTACTCTAACAACTATGATCAGAGCGTAGCAAAGACTGGGCATGGTGCCTCAAGGAAAAAAAAAAAAAAAACACCAGAAATAATTTGTAAATGTCATTCAAAATGCATTTAGAAGACACTAGAATACTCACATCATTTACCTTCTCACCTACATGAGCTACTTCTTTATTGATTGCAAAATCAAGATCAAATTTAAGGATAATTTATGAAATGCTGTCAGCCTGAACTTCGATAAATTTGCCTTTAAGAGCATTAGTATATAGCATGACAGATAGTGGCTGTCATGCTGTTAAAACTTTAAAAATCCCAGGAACTTTATGAAGAATCCAAGGCCTCCCCAACCCATCTTTATTTGTCTGACCCAGATGAGTTAGTTGTCTGATAGTCCAGAATGTTTTGAGTCCATCCCTTAAAAGCATTATTATTATCTATAATTGGCACCATAACACAGTACAATAATTGGTATTGTAAAACCAAATCCTCTCTGCAACTTCCTTTAATACTCTGTGCCATATAGTATGATAGGTTTATGTGACAAGCAGAGCTGAATCCTGGACAGTTAAATCTGGAAAAGTAAAGGTTTGTGACTTCTAGATTTCCCCATGGCAAACAAGTAAAAACAGATGAGCCTATGGGGTAAAATTTTATAGATTTCTATGTAAAAAACAATCAGAATTCTAGAGGCAGAAATATAAACCCCAGTATCAATACCTTTGTTAAGAAAATATGACAGCAAATAATTTTTATTTTATTTCACGTGTATGAGAGTTTTGCCTGAATGTATGCATGTACACCACATGCACACACGGTGTCTGCAGAGGTCAGAAGGGGTCCTTGGCTCATTTGGAACTGGAGCCACCATATTGAACCTGGGAATAGAGCTCAAGTCCTCTCAAAGAGGGGCAAGGGCTCTTACTCACTGAGCCATCCCTCCAGCCCCTCTGTGTCTTTTCTTGGTATCAACCTCTATAATAACCTTATGTGATATGACATTATTTTATAGATGAAGAAATGGAGACAGAGGGAGGTTAAACAATTTGCCTCTAGGTCAAACACTGTCAATATAAGTGTCAGGGAATTTGAATGTACATTCATCTGTTTTCCATGCTGGCCCATGGCTTCTTGCCAAAAAGGAGAGGCCGGGGCAAAGGTGGAAAGAAAAGGACAGAGCAGAGATCCTAGGATGAATCTAAACCAGCATCCATCTACTATATCTGAATACCTTGCCTATGTTTTTAAATTATTTCCCAACCCTGACAGTATTTGTCCATGAAGTTGTGTCAAAGCTGAATTTGAAGCTCTAAACACTACAAATCCTATATATATATATATATATATAACAAGCAGGTAAGCACAGTGCACATGAATCATTTCCCTAGTAGACTGTAAGCTTCTGGTGGGGGCATGGAGCATGTACCCAAGTATCTAAGCTTCCTGGAATCCAGCCTAAGAGAGTAGTCACATCCTCCTGCCGTGTTCAAGTCTTACACAGTAGCATCAGAAATCTACAGTCTCCAGAGAGTGGTTAGCTCTGCCTTCTCCTTCACTTGCATATACGAGAAGTAAGGCAAAGAACTGTGGCCCCCAGTTGGTTAAAGACAGCCAATTGTACTGAATCTTAGCTTATTGTCCTTTGCCACATCCCCCCCTAGGACTTGCAAAAACTTTTAACTCCCTATAGATATAATGTAATGTTACATTGTCACTTCTATCATTTAACTGCAAAGCATCTATTGACTCCACAAGCACCTATTGGCTCCACTGTGTCTACTAGTCTGTTCAATGTCTACTTCCCAGAATTTTTCTCTAGCCTTGGAAGAACTTCCAAGAGAAATCCCAAACCTGTCTCCAAAACCCCCACTGCAGCCTCTTTGTCCCAAGACCCTTCATGTCACCTTTTCTATCTCTCCAGTTTCCACCATGGGCCAGCATATTCAACCTCAGGGCTCATCTCTCTCTCTCTCTCTCTCTCTCTCTCTCTCACTCACTCTCTTGCTCTCTTTCTCTCTCTCTCTTCCTCTCCCTTTCCCTCTCCGTCTCTCTCTCTTCCCCTCTCTCTCCTTCTGTTCCCTCCTGTCTTTCTTTTTATTCTTCTCTCATACAATATATCCCAACTGCAGCCTCCTCTCTCTTCACTCCTCCCAGAGCCGCACCCCACAAGCCTCCCCCTCCCCCAGATACACTTCTTTTCCATTTCTCTTCATAAAAGAGCAAGCCTCCCAGGAACATCAGTTGTACATGGCCTGATAAGATACAGTGACACTAGGCACATACATACCATCATATCAAGTCTGAACAAGACAACCCAGTAGAAGGAAAAGGGTCCCAAGAGCAGGCAAAAGAGTCATAGACAGCCCATAATCCCACTATTAGGAGTTCCACCAGAACACAAAGCTATACAACCATAACATACATGCTGAGGACTTAGCACAGACTCATGCAGACTCCATGAATACTGCTTCAGTCTCTGAGGGCTCATTATTTTCATTGCCAACATGACCACAAATCTCAGAAAACATGTGAATCAGGGCATACTTCTTGGGGAAGACACTTCCAGAACCCAGAGAAATATCTGGGTACTTTCCCACTATTTGTGTAAACTGCAAGTAGCACAGATATATTAATATATTCCACTCATCATTCGGCTCACTCAAATAAGCAAATATTTCCCTCTTCTAGAGCATCATCCTTTAATACTTCATTACACATGTTCTTAATGAACCATTTATTCAATAAATGCTAGTTTATCATCTTCTTATGTGTCAGTCACTGTGCTGGGTACCAAGAAGCACTGGCCAGGAAGACATAGCCCCACCCTCCTCAAGAGGGTCCAGTAAGGGGACAATTTATATATGCAATGCTAACCTGCTTATTGTCTGTTTTTAAAATGTAGGATTCTGGGTATTTGGTAGTCCAAATTAAGTTTTGAGATGACTTCCTGAACAAATACTGTCAGAGTTGAGATGATTTTTAAAATGTAGAAAAGATATTTCAGACAGAGTAAGTCCCCTGTAACACAAAGATCAGAACAAGCAAAGATCATAGAAGCAAACGCAAAAAAAAAAAAAAGAAAGAAAAAAGAAAAATTACATCTGACTATAGAAACGAAGCTGAAGGGATGGGGTGGGCAAGGAAGGGGCTTCATTTTTCAAGACTTCATCTAGGGATAGAACCAGCAGCAGCTGAGCTGATTGTGCTGCCAGTTGTCATATAATACTTCTAGATCTTAGAGCCCAGACTACCATGTGAGCCACACACACTGTGAGTGCCCACCACTGATTTACGTACCTATTCTTCCCGTGCTACTGTGGGTTTCAACAAATACAGGCTTTATTCTGAATTCTTTTATCTCTTACTAAAGAAGAGAGAATGCCTAGTTGAATGGACTTGATACCAGAAAGGGTTACCATTAGGCAGCTCAGAGACTTTGGATCAGAAATCAAGGGAGGTCAGTCAAAGAGATTTGTTTTTGTGAATGCTCGGGTCAGAAACACACAGAGAGGCAGAAAGGTTAAGAGTGTCATTTGCAATAGTTATTTGCTGGAGATCCTGGCTCCCAGGTCTGTGCTTCTCATCATTTGGTATCTGCTGACATTAGAAGACTGGAAAAGCTTAATTTGAATCAATACACAGGGAGCAGAGAAGAGATGACAGGCAATTAACTTGATTCCTCCATTCTACCTAATTGTCTACTCATCAGCTGAGGAAGCAAGTGAGTTGCCATGACTACCTCCTGACACAAAGACTCAGCGCAGGTGATGCCATTGTCAGCTCATCTCTGTGGTACATGGCTGGCAGAGGCAGAACCCGAGAGTCCAGGCCAACCACAAGACCCAGGACCACTTGTGCCATCACTCTCACCCCAATTAATCATCTGTCTCCAGCATTGTGCAATGAGTTTCTG